AGCGCCCCCTGGAGATCTGCCTGAAGCACAGCATCGTGGAGGTCCCCGACAGCTCCGCTTGCCCTGCGGTGCGACCACAGCCCGGCGTGGCGGCGCTGCACGAGTATGCCGAGTGGATCGCCGAGCTGAAAGACAGACGAGGCGACACTGAGCGTAAGTGATGACATCACAGCTGAAAGACGACGCGTTGGTGTTGACGCCGGTTTAAACGCGCTCTCTCTCTGCAGCGCTGCTGGGGTACTGGGCCGAGGTCTGGACTCTGTGCGAGGCGCTGTGGGGCCGGCTGGGCCCCTCGGATCAGGAGGCCGAGGTGCTCAGCGAGTACGAGCAGCAGCTGGAGAGGAGGCGGAGCTTCTCGGCCTGGCTGTCCCACGGTGCCTCCCACAGGGTGGAGGAGGAGGTGGCTTTGGCCGGGAAAGATCGCCATGTCGACGCAGTTTTCAGCTACCTGACGGGAAACCGCATCAGCGAGGCGTGCCGACTCGCCCAGAAGGAAGGTGAGGTTCACTCGCTCAAACAGGAAGTAGCAGCGATGAGTCATGAATGTGGCGCTCAGTAGACACGGCGACACGTTTTCCAGTCTGTAATGAAACCTCCGACTGAACTGTTTGTCCGTCCAGGAGACCATCGTCTGTCCCTGCTGCTGTCTCAGGCCGTGGGCTCGCAGTACTGCAGGGACCTTCTCGCCCTTCAGCTCGCCGATTGGCACCGCATGCAGACCGACTGCTACCTGCCCGAGGAGCGACTCCGCATCTTCGCTCTGCTCGCCGGGAAACCGGTATGACGCCATGACCAGAGTCTATAAAGCTAATGTGACACATGCAGTATCTTCTTCTGTGGTGTTAGCGGTCGTCAGCTAACCACCTGAATTAGTGCCACCTTCTGCTGGTTTTGGCGCATCACGTCCTACCAGGAAAGAATCGACAGCGTGTAAAACAAGAAATATTTTCACGAGCTTCTCTCGTGGTTATTGTTCAGTGACTTCAGTCGTTGCATCCATGTTAATAATGCTTGTAAATTATAAAGCTGACGTCAGGGTGAAATCAGGGCCTGCAGAGATCTGCACAACCTCCACTCAGTCTTCCGCTGTGGTTGGATGCTGACGGTGTTCTCTGCAGGTGTGGCAGTCCACCGACTCTTTGGTGAACGTGTGCGCCGAGCTGGACTGGAAGCGCTGCGTGGCCGTCCACCTCTGGTTCATGCTGCCCCCGACTGCCTCTGTGGCCGATGCCCTCGCCAGATACGAAGCCGCCTTTCAGGTGAGCCGCCGCTGATTTTTCTTTGACTTCTGACTGTCGAGCGTTCAGGTTACATTTACACTCGTAAAGCTTCGTCTCAGTGTTCAGCAGAGGGCGGCGTGTGCGGTGTTACGGGTGTAGCTAGTGACCTGCTTGTGTTCGTGCTGATCGGTGATCGTTGTTTCTGTCCTGCAGGGCTTGTGTGAGGCGGGGAAGTACGCCTGTGCACCCCTGCCTCCATACCTTGAGGCGGAGCAGCCAGATCTGGAGGAGGCGTCCAAACGGCCGCTGTACGACCTCTGCTTCCACCTGCTCAAACTCTACAGCGACAGGTAACCAGGCTTCAGCCGCTGGTTGGGTAAAACGTGCAGAGCGCTACTTTAACGCTTCTCCTGTCGCCCTGCAGGCACTACGGCCTGCAGCAGCTGCTGGAGCCTCTCGCCGTCACCTGGGAGCGCCTGGACTACCGCCTGAGCTGGCACCTGTGGGGCGTCCTGCAGGCGCTGCACTACACCCACCTGAGCTCCCCACGGCAGGGCCTCCTCCACGCCAGCTACGCCGCGCAGCTGGAGAGCGCCGGCCTGTGGCACATGGCCGTCTTCATCCTGCTGCACATCCCCGAGCACGCGTACGTTCACCGCGCCGCCAGCACGGCGTTTCTTCAGCAGCTTGGCTCTGAGCCAAAGAGGGCTCAGGTTGTTTTACGACTCGGATCTTTGAATCCTCGAGTCTCATGGAAACAGCTGACGGCTCTCAGCTGTAGGCGTGTTGGCTCGGTGATCCGGCCCGCTTTGTTCTGAAGGCCGTCCTCACTTTAGATCTCAGCTCGTTGTTTCCTGTCTGATCTTCTTCTCTGCGTCTTCAGTCAGAGGGAGCGAGCAGTGAGGGAGATGCTGGCGCTGCACTGCCCCCTGCAGGAGACGGAGGACTCGGTCCGCAGGGAGCGCTTCCTGACCGAGCAGCTGCTGATCCCGGAGCGGTGGATCCACGAGGCCAAGGCCACCCGAGCCCACCGCGACGGCGACAGACACCAGCAGGCCCTGCACCTGTACCGAGCCCGATACTGGAACCAGTGCCACCGCCTGCTGATCCAGCACCTGGCCTCAGGTAGACCCGCCTGTTTGCACACGCGGTCTGAACCACGTCCTGCAGAAGAGTCAAAAACTTCAGGCTCCTCTGATCTGAATAATTAGCATCATTACATCATTACATGGTTACGTTAGAGAGAATTAAAGTTCCAGTTGGTTCAAAAACACGATGAGCCAACAAGTGCTGAGGCGCTCGAGTCCACACATCACGCTATGTGTCATGTGTGAGATCAGTTTGTTGAATCTCGCTCTCTCTCTCTCAGACTGCATCATCAACGATAACCACGACTACCTCCTGGAGTTCCTGGAGGGTCTGGCGCTCCCCGAGCACTGCGCCACCATCCAGGACTGGGACACAGCAGGGGGCGTTTACCTCGACTACATCCGAGTCATAAAGACTCTGCAGGACATCCAGCAGGTACCAAACACCTCTGAGTGTTTCTGATGCTCAGCTCGATGAGGGCGACTGTTCTTTGAAAGGAAAAGTACTTCATTATGATACTTATTGAAGTAGAAGCACAAACTTACTGTAAGTGTAAAAGTAGTGATGCAGTAGTTACAGAAAGACGTTTTCAGCTCAGGTTTTTCTTTTCCTCACGTCTCTGGCGTGTGCGGCGTTCACACGAGGCGGTGACGATGTGATCGCAGCTCGAGCTCATTTCTGGTCGTCTGCATTAGAGCGATGAACACGAGCAGCATCGAGTCTCTGCTTCACGCAGCACGCCGTGGTTTCATCCAACAGTGTTTGGAGAATAAATCTGAAAGCAGGGTGTAAAATGCTGTAAAGTCTTCACGTGTTTGTGTAACTGTTTCGTCCTCACGCCGAGTTTGATCTCGTGTTTCCGTCCTCGCTGTCAGATGGAAAACGCCGGCTACGAGCTGGAGCGTCTCTACACCGATGTGACGTCTCTCTGCAGCAGGATCGAGCTCCTGCCCTGCCGCACCGCTAAAGACCGCCTCGCCCAATCAGGTAAGAGAACAACTGCATCTTTGTCCTGATTGGCTGATGTCGGACGGAGGGGAGGAGTGTGTGACTGAAACTGTCCAGGCTCGCAGTAGCTGACGCACACACACCTCTCTAACAGAAACGAGCAGTTTAAAGTCTGAACAGCTTCCGCAGCTACATCAGGTGATCTAACAAAGCCCCGCCCCCTGGTCCCCTCCCTTTCTGCAGAAATGGCGAAGCGCGTGGCGAACATCCTGCGTGCGGTGCTGAGCCTGCAGCAGGGCGATACGGCCGACTCCCTCAGCATCCCGCTCGCCCAGCTGGCGCCGCACATCAGCCGCCTGCCGATGCCCGAGGACTACACGCTGGAGGAGCTGCGAGGCCTCACGCAGTCGTACCTGCGACAGCTCATCGTCAGCCAATGAGAGCGCAGAGCGGGACGAGAAGCTTCGGCTGCTCAAACGCCTCGAAACTGACACCATAAAAGATGAGGCGAGCCGTGTGTGACCTTTAACCTCACGTCTGTCAGTCTTTTAGCTTGTGCTCAGATTTAAAACCAAACAGGAAGTGACACGAGATTTGCAGCGACATCAGGGAAGCAGTCAGAGAAAAAAGGTTCAGATACTTCCTGAGTGATCATCAGAATTTCTTCTTCCTCACTTTATTTTCAATGAAATAAAACGACCTCGAGCTCAAACGTGATGAAGGGCTGCTGCAGGTTTGACCCGCCCACCAGAGGCCGCTCCACCGCTGACGTTCCTCTGCAGGAGCCTTCAGTTTAATCGTTCGGGGTATTTGTTCTTTTGCATTCTTTCATTAGCTTCTCCTGAAACATCAGGATCATTTGATCCGACTCAAACCTGCTGACTTAAAGCCGACGAGTAAATATTAATAAACAGGAAACTGGGGGAAGAAACGGGAGCAGTTCAGAGTAAACAAAGCTCAATCTTTAACTTCCAGAAACGCTGCCCGCTGACAGCAGTCTCCTCCTCTTTGTGTTGGACTCGACTCGTTTGACCTCTGACCTTCAGAGAGCGGGTCGACGTGGTGTTTCCCCCTCGGTGGGTTTAGAAGCGGCTGTCTGTGTGTGATCACAGAGCAGGCGGTGGATGTGTAAAATGTTGACGCTCTATTTTTGTAGGTGTGTTTCTGTGTGGATGTAACTCAGATCGTTAGTGTCGCAGCTTTAAAGTCATGAGTTTGCTCCCAAAGCGAGCCGCCGGCCCGAGGTTTCACTGTAATTATATAAATATTGTATATTTTTGGAAATCAAACGGGAACATCAGGTCGTTTTTATCCCTCGATTATTATCAGATTGGATGCAAAGTCTTTGGAAGTGAAACTCTGCTTACTCATTTATTTTTCTGTTGTAGGTAAACGCCAACGATGTTTTTGGGTTTTTGTTTTTCAAAGTGAAATCGGTTGGACTGTTTGAAACTGTCGTTCACTCAGCGATGCTGCAGTGTGTGTGTGTGTGTGTGTGTGTGTGTGTGCTTGTTTTCCTCATGTTTGATATTTTTAATAAAGTCAAGTAGAAATAAACAGGTTGTTTCACATTATTGTTTTTTGAGCTCGGGATCAACTAAAGCTAGCTGGGAATAAACGTGCTAACAAAGCTAGCTTAAAAACAAACCAGCAGACACACGGGGTGAAGCTGCTTCACCTGCACAGGTGGTTTAATCTGTGCCAGAGCTCCAGCTTGACCTCACTGAGAATATTCAGCCTGTTCATCTCACTCATGAGTGTCAGACTGACATCCTCGGTGGGAGGACACACCACTCGTTCTTTATTCGGTCTGTGTCAGGACACTCGGTTTCTGTCATCAGCGTTTTGAGTGCTTCAAGTCAAAGTTGCATCCGGATGAACGGCAGAACCCAAAGTTTGAGGAGCGTCGAGGTCACTGGTTCAAACCACAGTTTTGAGGACCTGCGGTGGTGAATGTCATGTGTGGAGCTACCAGGACTTTAGAAGGCTAACACTTCACTGTGTTGAGTAAAGTGACGGGGCGTGACAGGCCCAGAACTCTAGCCTCATTAGTAAACTGCGCAGTATTTCTGGAAGTTGTACCTCTAACCAACCATGGACTTTCCACAACCCCCAAAACCACAAAGACTCCCCACAGTCCCAGGAAGTAAGCATTTACCCTCACCTCGATAATGCTGCTGAGCTAAGCTAAGCTGCCTCCACAGGCTCGTATTTCTTTTTAAAGCCAGAGGACCATCATGTGCTGAACTGCTTAAGTTCCTGACAATGACGTATAATTTACATAGACGCCATAAAGGTGCTCGTCTGATAAAACCAGTGCACGTACGTGGAGCTGACAGTGCTCGTCTGAGCACTTCTGAAGCTGGAGCCGCCTCCAACCATACCATGTTTTTGGAGTTGGACTGCAGCTGGTTCTGTCTGAATCATGTCTGCTGGGATTACGGTCTGTGGTTGGTCATGTGATGGCACCTCTGGTTTGTGGGGTTATTCTTCAAACTTCAAATTAAACCAGCTTTATTGTTTCACACAGGAAGCATGTACAAACAAGTTATTTTTAAAACTTTTGAACTTTTTGAATATCTATAATGCGATTGTTTTGCATTTTAGCCTCGGCTGAGATTGGCATGGCACGACTGATTCTGTCTTCAACCCCGTCCTTCATGTCATAGCCGAGGATCTCTGCCAGTTTTTGAGTTGACACGCAGAACTGCTGCTCCTCCTTCACCTCCACCTTAACCCAAGCGATTTTTTTATTGAAGGCTGAGACGGATTTGATTTCAATTCTCCCGCTGTGGATCTGTCCGCTCTGAACCTGCACAAAGATAAGAAGCTGTATGTTTAATATTTATCACAGGCAGTGTTTTAGTCAGTGTTGTTGAGGCCGGTTCAGTTCCATACAGTGACTTTCAGCCGCTACCTTTGAAGTTTCAGCAACTGGAGTTGCTTCTGGGGCTGGATCGCTGGAACCGGTCTTCTTCCTTTTGGGCTCCAGTGGTTCAACAAGCGCAACCTGAACAAACCACCATAACAAAGCTTAAAGATGAGCTGGCAGATCATGGCAGTTTGAATAAACGGAACATTTGGGTTTCTGGTGTCTGTCAGACATTTAAACCAGAATGACGTTTGAGTGGAAAACCAATCGAGCACTTTGTGGATGAATTTAATATCAAACAGTCAGCAGTTAAACCAGCAGCAGTCAGATCTCAGCAGCTGCTGCGGTTTACAGAGGCAGGGGTCAGGGTTCTGGTTTAGACCCAGTCTGACTTTTGAGCTGTTCATGGTTTGAACGTTAAATCTGTCGTCCAGCCACATTCACCTTACTGTGCTCGATTAATCTGAAAACATGACGCCGTCGTCATCAGACTGGCATCATTCACACCTTATAACACAAACTGATCAAAATCGGCGTTCAAGTTAAAGCCTTACACAGTGATTATGAGGACATCCTGTATCATATCAAACGAATCTGGTTTATCTTTTGGGGCAGTTTTTGCCTTTTACCAGATATGACTGCAAGGAGCCGACGGCAAAGGGCTGCAGGTTTGAATCCAACCCAGATGGCTGCATTCAACCTGTGGTAAACACTCACATGCTCACACTGAGCTAAACTGGCTCGGACTAGTTTGTTTAAATATTAAAGCATGAAAATGTATTCCTGCAATTTTAAAAAGGTCCTCCCAGGTAAGAATATTGGAATGAGGAGGGCTCTAAAGCTGACCTCTTTAAGGTTTATACGAGAGTGTATTCACTGGTTGAGCAGGAACAGCCAAACAAATGAAAACACAAGCTCATGTGCAGGGTAATAAAACGGGCAGTGAAAAGAAAATATAACCTGAATAATAGATGGTTATCACAGTCAGGTCCAACAATATTTTTAACACAATTTCTTAATTTCAGGGACTCAAAAGTATTTGGACAAATTAAATGACTGACAATAAAATGTTCGTTTCTCATACTTGTTGGAAAACCTGATGACAGCCTGAAGTCTTGAACTCATCACCGTATCCTGGGTTTCCTCTTTGTTCATGCTCTGCCAGTGTTACTGCAGCAGCTCTCAGTTGCTGTTTGTGGGCCTTTCTGTCTGAAGTTTAGTCTTCAAGTGAAATTCTGAGTTGGGTTAAGATCAGCTGATTGACTTGGCCATTCAAGAATATTCCACATCTTTGCTCTAACAGAATGGTCTATCTGGATGATGATTTGCCTCTTACCTTGTCACGCTGGAAGCTTTTCCGCTGACCTTTAAAAGAAGAAACTGTGTTACTTTTGGTTTGAGGTGAAACTTCTAAAAGACAAATGAGTTTCTGTTGTTTTAATGTAATTAGCTCGTGTAGATCCTGTGGAGGAGTTCACTGGCCAAGGCCCAGAGCTCGTCAAGACCAGAGCTCGTCAGTGGTTCCCGAACTTTTTTTTTTGCTAGGCCCCCCTTTTGTTTTACAAAGTAACACGTTACAACAATAACGTGACGCTGTGCGCCACGTTATTGTTTACATGAAATGAATTTCTACAATGACAGAGACAAAATACTGTTACTGTTAATCTGACTGTCTGCAGGTTTTACATGCAGTTACTGTCCCTCCATTTACAAAGGCAGAGGCGTCACGGTGTCATTATTTTACATGTAGTTGTTTTTTCCTGTGTAATAATATTCAACATTGCTGTTTTCAAAAAATGCCTCTCTGTGCAAAATGGGTTTAAAATCATAAACAGCTGTGGGATCCTGTTTGTCCGTGATTTGAAGAGCCCAGCGCTGCTCCCGAAGACGGGGAAACTAATTCTGCAGGGAGACCTACCTCAGCACCCGTGCAGGTGAAGCCAAAGGGCAGATTTTCTTCACCATATTTTCTAGTCTTTGGCTCAGAATGAAGTTGGTTTGGAAACATATTCAGCGATGCTTCATCTCCTGCTTTGCATTTGTGTGGGAGCCCCGTCAAAAACCTGTCCATGATGCTAGCAGTGTCCAAGCGTTCTTCTGTTTCTTTTTCCCCTTTTCATACCGCACCCCCACCCCCACCCCCTGCAATGGCTCTGCGCCCCCCATTGTGGGATAGGTCATGGTAGAGTGTTTATCTCATGAACGCTCCAAAGCACATTGAAAGGTGGAAGTTTCAGACCACAGCAGACCCACTGTGACCCCTTTACGTGTTGTTACGTACCGACTTCAAGCTTCTTGTCTGCTGAATTTGAATCCCTTTCACTGTGTTTCCTCTTCTTCCCTGAAATTGACATTTTAAAAAGTTGAACACAGATTTTAAGGGTTGTATATGCTAACAGATGGTTTTCACTGAATAATAATTCAAGACTTAGACTGTTTGCTCTGCATCTTTAATTTGACTTTTGTCAAGATACCCAAGTTATATAAAATGTATTTAAATACATAAAGTTTGCTTTGGTTTGTATTTCCTGTTGAGAAATGTGTAACATGCAACAAATTATTACAGTGACATCCCTAAATGACTTGAGTATTGTCATATAATCCAAAGGGGAGCCTATGGATTATATAAACCTATCAAGTTTAGCATAAAATTATATGCCATCCATCAATCTGTCATCTTCAGTTTATCCTTATCAGCATCGCAGAGGAACTGGAGCCTATCCCAGCTAACATGGTACTAGAGGTAGGACACACCTCTCACACTCACATTTGTAATTTATGTTTTTGCTTTTTTTGTGGTGGGTGTGGTTTGTGGCTCAGCTGCAGGTGAGGGGTGGAGCAGTGGGTTCAGGGTGTGGTGTCAGGAGAGGCTGACTCGCACACCTGACCCCCACCATCTAATCATGTCTCCGCTGAGTTAAAAAAAAGCACTGAATAAAATATCAGGCTTCAATGGTTAGTTCAAGCGATAACATTGTAAGTCAAAGTTAATTTCCAAGCTCAAAACCTGTTTCTAGAAGCCTGGCATAAAGAATACTTAACTATGTGAACTCACCCTCAGTTTTTGGTCCATTCTTCAGTTGTTCAACGAAGGGGAGCAGCAGGTTCTGGACTGCGTGATCCCTCCGTGGAATCTGATCCATTGCATCTCTGATTTTGCGAATAGATTTTTTCACTCCGTGGTGCTCAATGATTTTTTTGGGCAGCTGTTCTCTGAACTTAGCAGTCTTCCTCTGTTTGGGGATTTGCACTATTTCCAACATTTTGTCGTACTGTGGGTTGTCTAGCTGCTTCAGAATGGCTGTCAGAGCTGTTTTCCACTCATTCATTGAAATTGGCCACATCTGAAAGATAAATAGTGCCTCTCTTACTCTACCACCTTTATCTGACAGATATGATAACTGGGTATTTATATCAAGATTTGACATTATATATATCCTCTGTGCACTGGCAATGCAGCAGGCCCACCACTTGCAGGAGGGGTCGTTTGGTGCATTGTGGACTGGGTTGCAGTCATAGGCAGAGTTTCAGTTGAGGTTGATTCGAGTAATGACTAAGCTGAATCCTAGGTGAGTCATGTCATACCAGGAGGAGGTCCTGGGACAAACCCAGAACATGCCGGAGAGACGATATTTCTCAGATGGCTTAAGAACATGTTGGTAACCTTTCTCAGCATAGTGTGCAGTGTAAGTAGCAGGCCAAAAAAAGCAGATTAACACTGTCTGAAAGTCATGTCTTTATGAAATATGAAAGAATTTGACAGTAGAAATACAGATACAGTCCTGATCAAAAGTTTAAGACCAATTGAAAAATGCATATTTTTCGTGGTTGGATCTTAACAACAAGAAGAAATGGGAGTGAAACAAAACATTTTTTGAGCATGCAGTTAATTGACAACAACATTTAAACTGAAACAGGTTGGATTACAGCTGATAAAACGTTTAGGATCACATGTCTTTAAAAGGCCAAATCTGTGCAAAAATGTGGATTCATTGTCATTTCCTGTCAGGTAGTCACACTGTTTTTAATCAGGACAACCCTACACTACACAATGCTGCAGGACAAGGGACTTCTTTCAGGAGCATAACATCACTCTTTTGGACCATCCTGCATGTTCTCCTGATCTAAATCAAACTGAGAACCTTTGGGGATGGAAGGCAAGGGAAATTTACAAAAATGGAAAACACAGTTCCAGACAGTAGATGTCCTTCATCCCTTGGAGAAATGTTCCCACTCGTCTCATGGAAACGTTTGCATCAAGCATGCCACAACAAATTTTTGAAGTGATCTACAATAACGGTGGAGCTGCTCATTACTGAGTTCCTGTTTTGAACTTTGATTTCTGGGGGTTTACTGGGTTTTTGGGAGGTGTGGTCCTAAACTTTTGATCAGCTGTAAAACAGTCTGTTTAAACACATTGAGAGTCATATATCATATCATTTCAAACAGGGGTGATCCAGTAATGCTGCACTGGTGAATTAGACTAACTATTCACTTTAGCTAGAGTTATTAAGTTAGCCAAAGTGTTGGGATGCTGTGTAAGACATAAATCAAGCTAAAATATAATGGTCTGGACATTCTTTTGCATGTTTCCCTACTGTAGGGGTCTCTGCAAGCATGTGGGGCTCTGAGAGGGTACAAGATGACAACTTTGGAAATCTACTAAAAACAGTCGATCATATTTGTCAAAGCTGAACCCAGGGCAAACTAAGCTAAATTAGCCTTTTTAGCTAACAACTACAAGAAGCATAACAGTTACTGTTAGGTTATCATTTGTTTACATTTGTTTACAAGCCTTGTGCCTTGCTTGTATTTTGCTTGCTGCAAAATAAACAAAATTTATTAATTTTGTTGCTTTAATTAATTAAAGCAACAAAAAAAACCCCGGCTCTTTTTAGTGAGCTGGGCCAAAAGAGCCGGTTCTCTAAAACGAGCCGGAAATCCCATCACTACCGAATGTTTGACCCAAAACACTGAATTTAAGAACTGAAATTGAATGGTGAGAAGTGAAACTGAAAGCATAATTAAATGTAAAGAAGGATGGAATACAATTTCAAATTAATTCAATTTCATAATGTAAAATTCAGTTTCAATTTAGTGATGATCATTTTTAAACCAATAAATTGAATTTCAAATTAGGCTAATTCAAATTCAGTTTTAAAAAGCATTTACTCAAGTTACAATTCAGATTCAATCTGAGCAATTCAAATTCAAATTTAACTTATTCAAATTCAGTTTCGGATGGCACAAAGTTCTGGGGCCCATTCTTCGTACGTCGCTTACTACATCCAAGATCAAATGACACATCCAAAACCAAATCATCGCGCTAACCGTGAGCTCGCTAATCCGGTTC